GCGAGCGGCGGGCCGGCGGGGACCCGCATCCCGCCCGCCACCTGCGAGCGGGGGCGCGGGGGGACCCCTCTGCTGGCCCAGCAGCCCCGCACCTCTCAGCGCCGGGAGCAGCCGAGCCCCCCTTCCCGTAACTTCCCATAAGTTTGAGACCAAAACGAAGAGAAACGAAAGAAACCCACCCGCGATGGCCCGAAAGGGAGAGGGTCGGGGTGGCGGTTCCTTCCAGGCCGCCTCCCCTGGCCGAGGAGCAGCTCCCCGGGCTCCGCTCGGCTCCGGCCGCGCTTCCCAGCGGAGCCCCTGGCGCAGGGAGCCCCTCGGTGAAGGAGGGAGCGGGAGGAGAGGAGCTCCCAGAGGAGGCTTCAGCCCTTCGGCGCTGTTCTCAGCGGGGAAACAAAACACTGTTGAGCCAGAATAGCCCGAAGCTGGGAAATAATTCTGCAAAATTATTTCACGTGGTGCCGGGAGGACCACCGATACCTTGGTGTGGGAGGCGAGGGTATGGTTGGAAGGATGCAGAGTTATCCCAACCCAGATGTACAGTCAGAAATGCTCAGGCTGTGTGTTAGGCTGTGTGTTTCTCTAGAGAATACAAAGCTCTTTATTTTCTAAAAATACCAAATCAAAAATACAAAAATACAAATTAAAAAAGGCAGACAGCTTGTCTTTCCATGTTAATTACTTAAATGTTCTGATTTCTTGGCCCATCTTACATATTTAGTTAAAAAACCCTTCTGCAAAATACACAGTTAGCTGTGGTACCTGCTGCTGCTGTTCTCATTCGTGCTACCTAAATGATCAGCATAAAATTTACAACAGTGCTGAAGCAGAAAGAAAGCTGGAAAATCTGCCAGCGGGCCTGACCTAGCACGGTTGGTCTCGGGCTTAGCCTAAGAGTCGCAAAGTTCGTTCTGTGAAACCTGTGTGTGAGGGGGAAACCAGTTATTTGCTGCAAAAAGAAAGCGGGGGGCTCAAAGGCTTCTCCTGCACATTGCACTGGTGCAGGGGAGAGGAAGAAAACCTGCATCTCTAAAACTTGCCTGTCTAAACCCAGACTTGCTGCTGTCAGGGCAGGAGAAGACTGCTACCAATTAATTGCTCTGCATCTCTGTATCATTTAAGTACCAGCTAGTTAAGATGTGTTCCTAGGAAAGCTGCGCTCCTGTCCATTAGTAATACATTTTTAAAATTGCTCTATTAAAGCTGTGTATTACCTGCTACTATATCCCATCTAGGTGGATAAAATTTTCCCCACAGTTCCCCTTCAGTTCCTGTTAACTTCATGAAAAGCCATGAAGACATGACCTGTTCTTGACCAGCAGATGGTTTATTAGTTATGAAAATATCAAAATGCAGATAAACCTCTTTAACACTTACAGCACGTAGGGTGCTGCCCTAAGGAGGAGGTGGTGACGGGCATCAGTTGAGTGTGTCCAGGCTCTCCTGGCCTTTCTGATAGCAAACTGGTCACTTGGCTGTGAGAAGGGGTGGTAAACGTATGGAAATGGTCAATTTTGGGCCTCCTTGGGGAATGTTATAGCTATCATAATGAACAGAGGTTTATTCTCAGCATATGAGAATAATGAGAAATAATGCTACTTTGGAGAAGTTCTTTCTGATGCCGAAGCATGCTATAATCAGAAGCAAAGCTCTGATTAAACAAAACACTTAAAACAACAACAGCAGGATCTCCAGTGAGCTTCTGAGTGACTGATGAGAATATATAGCACAACCTTTTGCATGGGCCCCTGCAATAGGACAAAATTGCGACGCACCAAACAGCAAAGTGGCTTTGAGCTGCACTCGGGGGGCCTTTCACAAGCACGAGTGTCTGCAGCACCAGGAAACTTGAGGAAACGGCTTCAGTAACTGGTCATGTCTCTGACAAGTATATATTTTTAAATCTGCTTTTGAATATACTGTTACTTAATTAATATTGTTAATTGTTATTTAGTATTTATGTTATGGTGATGCCACGGAGAATCAGTTAAGATGGGTTTTCATTGTAAGTAAATATAGCACGGAGATTACAAATTGCACAGCAGGTCAGTTTTGCTGTATAGCTCTTCTCTGCTGAGTGTTAGAAGAAATACAGAAAGCTATCTAGAAATCTCTTTTTATTTTTTTGTCTGTTTTGTTTTCCTACTGTGTCTTTTGTCTTAACTTGGAAGCCACTGGCTGTGCTGTTCCTGCTGTCACTGAGGAAATCCTTCACCCTCTTTCTTGCCACTAAGGCTCAACCAATGAAATATCACTATTTCTTCTCTCTTTTTTTTTTTTTTTTTTTAATGTTCTGGTCATGGGGAGAATTCTTACCTTAGATTTTTAAGCTAATCATGTGGAATGGGAAAATGTCCTGTTTTATTCACTTTGTTATTGAAATACTGGAAGTTGCTATGGTTAGAGTCATCAATATTTCCGTTATAAATCTTCTTCATAAACTTCTGAAACGGAGCTCAGCTAGTGTAAAACAAACAAGGCCTTAAGTGGGGGGAAAAATGCTCCACAGCATACTCTTCCCTAATTATGAAATAGGATAGGCTTGTCCAGGACTCAGTTATGCAACCGGGTAGGAAACGTGCCACTATTAGGTACTATAAAAATCTTGAAGTTTGGAGTTGTTGAGGTGGTTTTCACTTTCTTCTGAAAATGAAGCTTAGAAGATTGTATTTTTAATTGATGATGTTGAAAAAGTCCTTCAGAATCCTATTCTTGCGAACAGGTAAAGTGCAAGTAGCTGAAGGGAGTCCAGCTGTGACAGCCTTAATAGGCTAAACTGATTCACTTTCACTTGGCTAATTGTCAAACTGCCCCTTCACAGTATCAATTTAATTGTGTGTATTTTCTTTTTTCTTTTGTTTCAGACACTGTCAGTCTGCGAAGGGAAGATTCCAAAGGTTTTCATTTTCTGTAGGAAAAATGAGGATTATGAGCTGAAGTAAAACGCTGGCGGAAATCACTGGAGGTTTTTGCCTTTTTTTTTTTTTCTTTGAAGGATTATGTTTACAAGAAACTGATAACATCAAAAGACAAACACTTTTTAGAAATAAAGTAATTAAAAGGAATACAAGCTGTATTTATGCTCAAAGAAAACTGGATTAACAATGAGGCCAAAGACTTTTCCTGCTACGACGTATTCTGGAAACAGCAGACAAAGGTTACAGGAGATTCGAGAAGGTTTGAAACAACCATCCAAATCTTCAGGTCAGGGACTACCAATTGGACCAGGCAGCGAAACTTCTCTGGACACTAAGATTTTGGTAGGGAAGGATGCTGCAAGGCAGCAGCAGATGAGACAGACACCCAAGTTTGGACCTTACCAGAAAGCCCTCCGAGAAATTAGATATTCTTTGCTGCCTTTTGCTAATGAGTCGGGCAACACAGCGACTGTTGAAGTCAATAGGCAGATGCTCCAGGAACTGGTGAATGCAGGTTGTGATCAGGTACGTGTGCTTTTGTGTGTGATTTTTGGTGTGTTCATAGCATGTTTATACTAAGCACTGAGGAAGGCATTTGGGATGGTGATTGTCCCTCTTGCTGGTCTTTGTGCTGCTGTGCAACCAGCAGAGCAGATGGGCTTGCTGATGAGAGCCCTGCTGAATATGGGGTTAATGTCTCTTGGAGACTGTTGTGGCGACCTGTGCGGCTCTCTTATTACTCCACTTGCTGCGTAAGGCTGAGCAAAGCAGCTTGTTCCTTTTCACTACTAGGACGAGACTTAGCTATGAGAGCTGGGGTAAAATTTGTCTAACGTGTCCAAGCTCCATTCACTGTCAGAAGCGGCTAGAGGCAGTTCCAGAGGCAGAACATGGTCTTTGAAGAAGCTCACGAGCTGTTTGCGAGGAGGTGGCAGTGGGTGAACATGCAGCAGACGGTGGTTAGGTGCGTGCTTTTCTCCTCACCTCGCCACGGGTCCTAGTGAGAGGTGCTAGTCCTGCCTCAGACAAGGATATAGGCACACACGTGCTTGTTTTTGTCATTCTGAGGTGGTGCTGGAATACGTTCCCAATTCAAAGACTGCTCAGTTAGTGGAGATCACGGCTGGTTTGTGTTAAGCTGCACTTTTGCACGTGCTTTCAGTGTTGGTTTTGACGTTGTCTAGGAATGGTTCACAATTTTGTATTGGGGACATAAGATACTGTTTCTGTTTCAAATTCTGATTGTTGAGGGGGGAAAAGAATCTTTCTTAAGGGATTGAATAACAGTCATTTGTGAAGCTGATACATCACGGTTTATAGTCCTTGATGTAAATTGGAGGGATTTAATACCAAAGTGCTTTCAGTAGAACTTCCTTGATTTCAAAACTTGCCTCTATTCATGACAGAGCCTCTTCATGACATGAGCCTGAGTCTCCTGGACTGTATTCAGAATCTGTATAACTAATCTTGCATCACACATTATTACCAACAATTTACATTTGTTAGGAACTGAATAGTACATTGATTAGTGCTGTTTCTATTCCACAGAACGGAATAATTGATTCTATATTAGGCAATTGGAGCCAGAGTAGATTGCAGATCTAACTAAAGGTGCCTTAGTAGCTCTAAACACCTCCTAGTCCAGTGAAGGAGATGCATGTGTTGAATTATTGAACTGAAGGAACCAGAGATTTGCAATGTGATCTTAAGTGTGCCATGAAAATGTAGAGCTTTTTATTTAAAAAAAAAAAAATCTCTAAATTTTCCTAGCCGTTTAGGAAGAGAACATTCCCTGTGCGCATGAGCCAAGGTTAAAAGAGCACAGCTGGATTCTGGATTGGGAATGTGCATTGGGAAGGTTGCATGGACAGATCCTTCCCTTGTTGGACTGAGATTTTGGAACGTGCTTGGCCTTAGCGTTTCTGGGCTGTACTGTGCTCAGGGCATAAAACAGACCTGAGCACCCGTGAAAATGCCCTGGTGTTTAGGGCACTGTAATGCACTGTACTTTTACATTTTAATTATCTCAGCTATTTTGCCGTGAACTTTGATGCAGTGATAGTGCTTGTTATGGAGAACAGGTGAAACATCCGTTTCTGACTCTCGTGGGGAGACAGTTTTGCCACCCTCTTAAGTCTGGCGGTGCAGATCTGTGTTTTCCAGACTGGCTGTTACTCTTCCATCCTTGGATTTATTTTCTCCCTGGCTGGGACTGGTTGCCTGGGGTTAATGCTACACCCTTAGGTGTGTTGTACGCTCAGACCTGGGCCTCAGCAGGGTTGGACCTGGCTGCAGCCCACATGGGGGTTCCAGAACTGGAGCCTTGTGGCTACAAGGGCAGCGTTCCCTAATCTGGGGCTAGGCCACAGCCAGCCTCACTGCCTTGGAGGGCTGAGAGCCAATGGAGTTTCCTGACGAGGTGGGAATAGTGTCAGGTCCTGGGAATGCCGTGGAGTGACAGGCTAAATCGCTTCCCCTGGATTTTTTCCTTTCCTCCTGGTGCTTGATAGCCTGAGCGGTTCCAGATTGGATCCTGAATGGTCGCAGGGGTCTTTTAGAGCATAATGTGTAGTAAATTCCTCAGCCATCCCAAGCCAGCCGGTCTCTGCCTTTGAATTGAAGCTCTTAAACGGCTCTTGCAGGGACCTCTCTGTAGTCCAGCAGGCAGCCAACAAACAGATCTTGTTGCAGAGAAGTGAAACCAGCTCTAGTTTCTTAGAGAAGGGTTTTATCTGTGTCTCTGCACAACATTAGCAGGAGGTGGGTGCATGGGCTGTGTTGCACTGACTTCGCCCTCTCTTCACCCTGAGCTGGTGGCAAAGGGGCAGAGTTTTTCCCCCGGAGGAGCTTTCCAGGCTCCTGCCTCAGGTGCCAGCAGCAAATGCTCCATTTAATGTGTCAGCCCATGAGTCCCTAATGCTCTGTGCAATGGCCCTCCCCTACTGCAAGCCTGCAGAGCGTAGGGTCCTACACCTGCAGATCCTCTTTCAAGGAGTAGTAATCAGCTATTTAATGATGAGCTGCAAGTGTCTGGTCTGTGGTGTTGGCCAGAAGAAGCTCTGATCGTAGGTGTTCTGGGAAGGCAGGAAGAAATGAGTACAAATTACTGGGTTTCATCTTAGATGAACTCCTTTTCCAGTTTTTATTTGGGCTAATACTATTTGGTGTTCCTGATGTTACACTGGAAAGTAATCCAAGCCATGTGGGACAATCTGCTCTGATAGCACCCCAGGGTGGACGTTTTTCTTCCTTCTATCTGTGATAAGGAGAGGAGTATAAGTTTTAGGGGCTAGAGAAAAGAATAATATTATGGTAGATGAGTGGAGCTAATTAAAATAATATCCCTGCAACACGGTTAGATTTTTAACAACTGTCATGTCATATAGTACAAGAGATGTTACATATTAAGTAGTACAAAGGCAGGCTTTGCATCTCCCAGTTCTGCCTAAGTGAGCGCAGGGTGTGTGTGTTGGGAGAGGAGGGTGCAGGGGGAGAAGGGATTTGTGTCAAAGTGATGTGATTAAAAAGGAGGCTTCATAACACTCTGTTACTTTAGTTTTTTCTTGCTCTCTGGAAGACCCGCGTAGACAGAGGAAGTGTTTTCTAGGGTTGTTGGTAAACTGAAGCATAAAAAGGCAGTGTAACTCACAAAGTAAATAGAAAATTCTTATGCCTTTCAGTTACGGTGATCTCAAGTGTCACTCATGAAAACAGATTTTAAAAAGTAAACTGTGATTACAAAGCTGCCAGAGCCTTTTTAAATGGCTTGTGCTCTTCCACCAAGGTTTATTTCCAGCCGTTGTGCAGCTTGTTCCTCTGTAGTGAAGTCTGGCCTCAAAAAGAACGTAGTAGGAACTTGGCTGCTGACCTGAGAGAAGCCAGGATTGTGCTTTTTTTGAGATACTACCCCTCTCCCGGGGCTCCCCTCTCCGCGCAGTTTGCCCAGGCAGCTAATTTTAACCGATGATGCTGTGGGATTTTTCACGGGCCGCATACCTCCATACATCACATAGTGCGGGCGGAACAGCTGTGCGGATGTCATACAGGGAAGTCCTTAAGGCCTTATGCTTATTTCTTTGCTTTTGCCAGAGGCTTTTATTGGGGTCTGTGTGACAAAACACGTACGTGCTGCCTATGGCAGCATCAGAACCTCTTGTAATTCATGAAGTTTTTCTAGAGTTTGCAGAGGGGTGCGTGGGGTTGTTTGTTTTCTTCCTTCACCTATGTTTCTTTCTCCCTATATGTGAATTAAATTCTTTTTATTCAACCATCTTGGCAAAGACTCCATCCTGCTCTGGGATCTACCAGCTGATTTTGGGACACTTTCAGCACGAGGAATACAGTGTTTATTTTCATTTGGACAAATGCTTGCACGCTTTCTTTTTATATAAGGCCAATTCTGCTCTGCCAAATGTAGTTTGGGGAGCAAGTTGTTTTTGTGTTTTTCTTTTAAATTCAGTGCATGTGGTATTAGTATCCTCATTCTGGCAGGATGACGAAAAAGGAGCTGTTTTAAGATTGCACAGATTATTCTGTGGGGAAATATGTCCGAGGTGGCCAGGGACCTATTAGACCTATGTTGCAGTTCAGGTAGGAATAGATATTTTGCGGTTACAAGAGGAGGGAGATAAGCCCTTGAATGAGGGCAGTGCTGGCTGTCGGAGGAAGATTTTATTTTAGCAGCCGCTGAAGTAGATTTGCTAATTCAGGCCAGCAACCCCTTGTGAGTACTTTGCCTCCCTCACTTGAAGGTAAATGCACACTCTTTTTTCCTTGCAGCTGTGTCACAAGCCCCCTTCATCACCTTCTCTTGTACTTCTTTCTTTCTTTCTTTTTTCTTTTTTTTTTTTCATACATCCCTTTTTAGTCTCGTTTGCCTTCTCCCCCTGTATCTCTGAAGTTTCCAGGATCGCCCCGTGATCTTCTTCACCACCTGGAGAAGAGAAGTTTGAGAGGAGATCTGATCTATATGCACAAATACCTGTAAAGAAGATGGGACAAACTCTTCTCGGTGGTGGCCAGTGACAAGACAAGGGGGAATGGATGCAAGTTGAAACACAGGAAGTTCCATCTCCACGTGAGGAAGAACTTCTT